CTGATGGTCCGCAGAGAAAACACAGCAGTTAACTTTTTTTTTTTTTTTTTAATTTTTTTGAGCAGATGAAGATACAAAAATCTTTTTTTGCTTTTAATAGGAAAAATAAAATACGAGGGGAGCCCCGTGCGTGTTTTTTCTCTTCTACGATCAATAGAATGGCAGAGGGGCGTCCGAAGCCGGTCCTCGAGGGCCGCTGTTCTGCGTCTTTGATATGTCGCTCGCGTATCGTTGGACAGAACATTTTGGTGACAAAGTTTGAGTTTCACGTTTGCGCCGCACTGCTTCTGACGGCATTTTCGTGTCGCAACAGCAGCCGACAGGTGAGCAGAGGCTCACGCGCACGCAGCTGAGTATAGTTCACAAAAGGGTACGCTGACAGCTGATTGGATGATTGACAAACAGGAAGTAAGAACACACAAACAAGGGAAACTATTCAAATATTGAATCACAAAACATAAGTCCAAACAGGACTGTCACATCGTGTTGAATTAACAGGAGCAAAAGTCAACACACTTGGCTCTAAAGGAAGTGAATATTTTAATCGACGACTTAGGTCCGCGGGGAGATCATATTTTAACGAACCTACATTTGGGATGCACGCTGTTTGTTTGGTGGCTTGTTCAACAAGTCAAATTGTTGAACAGGAAGCTGTTGGGGTTTTTTTTTTTGTATTACATGTGACGGTCACTTTAGCTGCAAAGCTTTTTTTTTCACAGATTTCGAAAAAAAAAAACCCGATGTTATCCCACTCTGGGGTTCAAACACTTTCGAGACCTGCAAAACAAAAAACAACAACAACAAAAAAGATAGCTTTGCAATCTCTCTTCAGTGGAAGCGTCGTCCATGCATCATTTGAAAAGCGGTCCATTCAAATCGGAACGCCATGTCAACATGAAAGTTCAGTTCAAATTCATTTGCGATGCCGATCCATCGCAAAGAGCATCTGTCGATCCACATCATGAAAAGCAATCTGGTCATTCGCGTACAGACAACATCGACCTGTTGATTCATATTCTCGCACTGCCCGTCCATTTGCATCCCATCCAAATGCATCCAGTGCCATGAGCAAGTCTTTGCCCCCTTCCTGATTTCTTTGCATATTTATCAAGCATATCACACCTTGAGGTCACTATGAAGCAATTCATGTTATTTGGTCATGAAGCAGTACTTGCATCCTTTGGGTGCTCGGTAAACACGATTGTCGGCGAGCGTATGTCAAAAGTCTGGCAGCCTGCTTTTCTCACAAACTTTCGGGACAGGAAAGGAAGGAATTAAAGTGTCAGACGTGACTCAAACCGACAACACACACCTCAGCTGTGTAAATGCAGAAAAACCACGTTGTTATGGTTACGGCGTGTCACGGTGACGCTCTTTAACCCCAGAGGAGTGATGTCACAGGGCCTCCACCCTGCCTGCGTCAGGGTGATGTCAACAGTCAGAAATTTGTTGACAGAGCTCACCAAAAACTCAAAAGTCATCTGGTGTATCCGCATGGAATGGCGTTTAGTGTTCATTCCGGCTGAGTTTGAGAGATTTCTCAAGAGAAAGCTTTGTACGAATTCCAGACATAGGAACGCTGTGAGCTCAATTCTTATTGACTGTTTCTGACTTTTCTTGAACGTCCCGAACCTAAGGATGCATTTTAAAGAAAGAAAAAAAACTCCCCAAAAGGTATTTTTCATACAAAGCTAAACTCTCGCAGGTACTTTTCAAACATGGCTGACAAAGTTGTCCGTGCTCACGAAGTTGCCGCGTCTTCCTACGGTTCACTCGCATAAGCAAATCGAACGCGGCTTCTTTCAAAGTTGAAAGGTCAAAGGTAAGCTACAATATGGACGGGGACAGCGTGATTGAATTTTATTTTAGACATCACGAAAAGCTTAGCATCGCATGGAATCATGATCGCCGTGAGACATTTTGAATAGGCTGTTGAGAGCCAGCTTGCTTGACCGGCGGCGGTACGACTTGGACGGCGGAATCCATTTGATCGTTCAGCAACTGCAACGCTCTGGGAGGGATCGCCCACGTATACGAAATGAAAACTTTTTGTCTCTACTCGATGTTGGTATCGAATAAAAACGTCAGATGCAATCAATTGTGGGGGTTTGAAGCCACCAATGAGGTGAGTGAGAAGAGTCAGTGAAGGTGCGCTCGATTTGTTTACCCTCTTGTCCAATAATGGATCGGCGCTACTTCATGTTCACACTGTAACGATTTCGTGTGCACCGAGTAATAATTGACGCGCACAAAATAGTAATTAGTGCGCACAAATTAGTAGTTTGAGGAAATGAGCAGTTTCCACATGAATCGTCATTTAGTCCACATGAATGATGCGTCTCAAGAACTTAATTCAACAACTCATGACACATTCAGTATTCTCAAAACAATAATACGCTGTCTTGCCCTACCAGGAATTAGGTTGTTCGCAAGGACTGCATGATGCATACAGATGAATTATGTTGAATGAAGTGTATAAGCATGAGAAATTCTAAAAGAAAAATGATACAGAAAATAAATGAGCTCCTTTTTTGGTGAGGATGCACAAATGAGTGCATGAGTACTGCGCGCACGTGCACTGCTCAACGGCACCTCAGCAGTAACCCTTCGTGCCTCATTCGCCCTCTGAACTCGTTTTTTTCTGCCTGAGGTTTGAACCAACAAGCTGCTGTTTCTGTGGAAGTAGCCGATTATTGGCAGCGAGATCAGACAGTGTTATAGATCTGATAAAAGCCGGCGGGCACATTTGAGATAATGGCTGCGTTTTTATTTATATACATCGTCATTTGTTTGCTAACCTCCACTTAGGAGCAAGCGTTGGCTCTGCGCTGCAGGCAGAATACTGGGAGTCCAAAGTGAAGAAAATGAAAAGTGAAGCTGTGCGGTTTCTATCTGGGTCAGAGGATGAACAGATTCATCGGCATCCGATTTGCATCAGCGCAATCTGAATAGAAGAAAAGATGCGATACAAGAGGGGATACTGGGCCTAATGTCTGAACGTTGCTTTCCTCTTTAAATGCACTACTTAGGGATGTTAAGTGGCTTGTTTGAAAAAAAAATGATATTATTTGCACAATACAAACAATCGTGATGACTTGCATGTGAACAAGTATTTCTTCGTTTACCGTACGAGGCATGAACACACAATCTATGCAACGGAATCCTTGGGTTCGAAATATTGTGATAGGACACAATCGTTGACTATCGGTACTCTAGTGTCCTCCCACATTCCAAAAAAACATGCAGGGCAGGTTGATGGATGCTTGTTCCATCTCTGTGTGCTCTGCGATTGGCTGGCAATCGGTCCAGGGCGTCTCCCGTCTACTGCCCAAAGACAGCTGGGATAGAATCACTTTTTTAAAATTTTTTACTCCGCATTAAAAATACACCATTGTTTTCAGGGGCGAGCGAGAGCCGAGACGCCGGGAGCACGGCGTCCACCAGGTGCTGTCTCATCTGAGCAGCCGGCCTGCAGCTCCGACCCGATAACCTTGATGCTACACCGTCGGGATGGTGAAGGGGAGGGGAGGCGACTCAACGCATTGTGTTTTGACTAGACCAGTTCACCTGGATCAGATTCCTCCCATGAAAGGTCAGTTCACCTGAGGGGAGGTCACAGAGGAGGTGAAGTCTGACATCTAACCTGTAGCTCAGCTGAAAAAAAAACACCAGAGCGGAACGTCTCACTTGAGGCTCTGGATGTCATGACAGCAAAATATAAACGCATCAGAGAAATGATATCGTAAATGACATCTCTCATTCCGTTTCATCAGCTTCGCCGGTTGGATGAGACGCAAAACGTCTTCTAAGATAACCAGAAATACAAGTTGTTTTTTTTTTTCTCAAACCCACATTGTCTTTTAAGGCCGTACATCCCGATTGCTGCGAAATTCATGTTTAGTGCCTGCGCGCTTTTTGCACGTTAACGTCTCGTAAGCCAAAGATCAGTGGCGAGGCAGAATTTCCTCACCTAGTCTGCAACGCTACCTGCTGTCCAGTTGTGTCATTGCAACTGAAGCTACTTTTGTTTGTTTAAAAAAAAAATACATTGAAATCAATTAAAAAGTACCTGACGGACCACAAACGCCTCTTCGTGTGTTGTCACACATCAGATGAAAAATTATTTTAACGAGACAATCGTTTGCAATTTCAATTTTGTGAATTAATTAAGTAAACGTTGTTTCAACGTATTTTAATGGTTTTATCACGTGCGCAGTGCATGATTGACACTCAGTAATGTTCCCATAACGCCACGCGCATGCGCCAATCAAGACCTCCTGGTATAAAGCGTGCATGCTACATTTGTAGCATTTAGCCTCCAGGTACATTCGAACATACTCGCAAGTACGTTCAAACATGTTTGCCAGTCTTTTTTTTTTTTTAACTCCACAATGGGAGCCCCATGGTTCGGTACCTTTGTGACAAATACGTAAACAAGTCATCTTTGAAAATAATGAAGGAGGTGGTTCACCATTCACGGCTGAATGGAATGAATGACATTTTGTCAGAAAAACTGTTTTCTTTTTCCATTTTATTTTTGATTACATGTTTTTTTTCCCCTAATAAGTCCTTAGTCACCTATTTTCTTTTGTAGAAATGCAAAATCCCCCAAAACAAAGTAAGTAAAGGTAGCACCAAAATCCACACCACAATATTCAGGGTAAATGCTCATCACATCAGCAGGCACTGAAGTGTGCAATTGGAAGCTTCTCACAGATATGTTGCGTACAAATATGGCGTGATGAGAGAAAGGCCCGGGGGAGGGCGATCCTGACTCTGTCCAGTGCTCCAACATATCCCTCTAATTAACACGCGACATGGCATTTGTTAACACGTTTTACAAAAGCAGATCACAACCGTCATTAACTAATTGCCAAGCTTTTCCGAATGTGCAAAACTGCTGGTTGCCAAGCAATGCCACGGTGACATAAACAGTCACTCTGGAACACGTTTGGAAAAACCGAATCATGGTGCGACGCTGACCCACTCCGTTTGATGTTCCACGTTGGTTCCGCCGACAGCACGGCGCCTCGCTGCTTTATTCAACAGCTCCACCAACCGTTCAAGATCAACAGTACAGTTTAGTCAACTTGTGGCCTTCGTCCTGTTACTCGATGCCTTTGAGCGTGTGGTAGATGTGTTTTGGTAAAATGACGTAGCCCTCGCTGAACGCAGTCGGTGCGTCGCGCGCTGTCCTGCCGGTCTTGCAAGAGACCCTCAGACTTTTGAGCTGTCTCTCCTGACGGCGACACTTCTGCTGTGTCGTTTTCAGCTTCTTCCTCAGTAGCTCCAGCTGCTCCTCCAACTGCTGGATGCGCTTCTTCTGCCGCGCGGAGTCTTCCGCTGTGTAATTATGGTCGCAGGAGACCATCACTGTGTCACCGGGGATATCAGGTGGACTCCTTACAGGCTCGGACTCCACCTCCTCCATGACGGGGTCAGAGGTCAGGGGAAAGGAGAGGGGAAAGTGGATCTCGGAGGGGAAGGGATCTTCCAGACATTCTGACTGTCAGATAGAAGAAAAAGATTCTGGATTTTTGCCGGTATCATCTATCAGCAGGACCTGCTGGGCTTCGGTCACGCCGACTGTTTTCTGAGTTTGGTCATGTGACGCAGTCGCTGTTTTTATGGGAGTTTCGCGTTAGCTTCCTGTGAAAACTACCAGAATGTTTCCTCACTGGCTGTGTTTATTTCCGCTGTTCCCGGCTGTGTTGCAATGTTGCATTGTATAAAATGTATATACATTTGTTTTTATAATTTTTTTTGCAGTTTCTCAGTACCTCTGAATTATTGTGTTGCTTTGTGGACCTTTAAAAAAAAAATTCTGATCAACTGAAAATGACGTGATCGGGCCCGATTTTTGAACACATCCCGATTTCACACAATTTTTTTCTTTATTTTTCTTTCAGAAAGACAGAGAGCTAGATAGAGAGAAGCACACTGAATTTTTCTGACCTGCTTTACCTTGATGTCAGCGTTGAAGTCAAAAAGCGAAGGCACGGCGTTCTCCTTCAGGACCCGGTTGTTGCACTCTCTCTTGAAGCACTCTTTAGTGAAGTGCTGTGAACAGATATTGCTGTACTTGGTTGGCTTGAAATTGTTCCTCCTCATTGCTGCCACCCATTTACCACAGATGTCCGGACGTGCAAGGGGAAACCTGATCGAACAATGACAATAACACAGCTGAATGAGGTACAACTCAATTTTGACTGTTTTTTTTTTTTTTACAAAACGTTTTCAGACATAGTTTCCTTTGACACATTGACGAAAGGCATTAATGCGATTTAAGTTGCGGCAGACCATCACAGCATGATGTAAGAAGGTGTTTCTAATATTTTGGCTGCCATACATGTGAGTGAAAACGCAATTAGCAATTGCTCATGTTCTGTTTGACGTTGCTTGACTCAATGAGGTGAAATAAATATTTACTACCAACAACTTAAGACATCGCGTCTCCACGAAAGTCTAACCGTACTGATTTGATCGGACACGTTTATGAAGGACTGTAAACAAACTCCACAGCGTACCGATTCTCAACCACTGTACAGTGACAGATCATCGGGTGTGCTGTAGGTGATTTCACTTGGTTGGTGCAAAAATGATTAAGCAAGAATGTAACCGTGTTCATCTATATCTCTGTTCTATCTTTAACATCCATTTCCCACGAAGACAATGACGTCATGTTGTTTTTTTTAGAACGGGAGTAGTTAAAGAGTATTGCATTCAATTGCAATAACCGTGATTCAGTGGATGTATGAAGTCGAACAACAAAATACAGGTAAGTTACGAGAACGACATTTACTTGTCTGGAGCCATGTGGGAGAAAAACGTCCGTGACGTTGAAATAGAAGTAATCGCGTGTATTGTGAGGAAAAGCTGCCCTGTCATGATGTACGGTATATAGTTCACAACCAAGGCTTTTCCCCATCATGTCTGAACAGCTAATGCTAATGATCAACACACATTTAAAGTGAACTCACTTGTGGAAGGAGATGTCTTTATCTTTGTGATAACGGTTTTTACAGCCGTAAGCCGAGCAAGTCTGAACCATAGCTGCTGTCTCGGCAACTCTCAGTGACACTCGGACTGCGTGTCCACGATTCACAAACACGCGCTACAGTGCCAGCTTTTTTTTTTTCCCCCACCACACGAGCTTCAGTGCCACTAACAATGATGGCGGCCAGGGCGTGATTACGTTTGAGTCACGTGAAAAGGTTTCGGGAGTCGATTGGCTAATACGTGATTCTCTGATATCCAATGAATTGCCTTTAAACTGAGTAGCATACATCTTCATTCCTGCCCAGTCTCTCGCTATGTCTCTTTTAAACACATTTAGACAGCGTATCCAGTAAGACGAGATTGTTGTTAATTTGATTTCATTGTACTAAGTGTAAAATGTTGTGATTCTGTATTTTAGATATGCATGCCTGCATTTCAACTATCTTGCGAGTCCTCGCTGTCAAAAGTGCTGTATAAATAAAATATGTGGACTTAATGTGAAACAGGCAGTCAAATTTTCTTTTTAAATGCTTAACATGATACTTTATGGTAGTGTGTGAGAATATGGTAAACACTACAAACACAGTTTTGGTCATCAACCAAAAATTGTATTAATCATGAAGCTGTTTTTTTTAGAAAGCAGGCTGGTTTTCAAAGTTTTATACAGAAGTAAAGCCACCAGAAACACTCAGAAAACATATACACTGCACTGATAGTACATGTGACAATGAATAAAAGACTCAAGGCCTCAAAAATTTAGGACTGAAAAACGTTGATGCTGCTTGATGAAACAAAAACATTTAGTCCAGTTTATCTCACACCGTTATGTATTCTCAACTGTGCAGATTAATCCAAACTTGATTTAAATGCACAGTGGGTAAAATAAAGTAAAGCAATCTCAACCTAAAATGAAAAGAAAGAAAAGCATTTCTTATTATATAAAGTATTGATTCTTTCCTTTAAGCATACATATACATTAGCACAAACGGTGGGAGGGAAGAATAGTAGCAACACTGAATCAAAATGTACCCAGCAACCGCTCTGTAAAATTAATATTCAAAACAAAAATTCAAAAAGCCACTTTTTTCAAATTTTGACCAGATCATTTTTACTAAATTAAATTTTCTCCTCAAGTACAACTACTTTAAGTATCTGTGACAAGTGACAATATGTTGGCCTCACAAACCAAAGCATTTGGTGTCAAATAACGATTATTGTCAAAAATATATATTAAAAAAAATAGTTCATTCCGATTGATTCAAACAGATGAAATGTTGAAAAAGGATGCCCCTTGAAGGACTCTGCAAAAAAGCTACAGAGCCAAATGTAAATTCATGATACATATGCCTGTGAAAAAAGACATTGCGGGCCTTGTCTTTTTTTTTTTTTTTTAACACACAGATTCAAGGAACATGTCCAAGTAATGGAGTCAAGTGTCAGGTTCGCCGCTCATTCACATTCACACGCACACACACACATACATAAACAAAGATAATTGCAGAGAAGCTCTGTGATTGACTTTTTCTGCATCATGATCATGGGCACATGGAATATTATCTTAGTTTTGACCCAGTAAAAGAAATTAATCTCTTTTTTTTAAACAGACATTTGCAGAGTTTAATACAACGCAACGCCGCAGTCCACTTCCCTCAGGTAGACGTCCCGTGAAAATCCTCAGATGCAGTTCTGAGATCGGTACCACTGGCAGCTACTGATTCATTAACGTGGAAGCTGATTGACAGCCATTTAACTTTTAGGCAAGCGGCAGCCCTTAAGTCGCGCAGCCACAAAACCCGGCAAAGCTTTGTGCGGCCAACAATGCTTTTGTAATGCATGAACAAGCTAAGTGCGGGGATGAACCAAAATGAAATGGATGCGTCTCAAAGGAGGTTAAATATGATAGCAGCTATTTAAAGAATTATTGACAAGCAGTTGATCGTAAGCATTTTGCAAACCTGCGTATCATACTCTAGAAATCAAAGCTCAGCTGATTTCTATTTAAACTCTGAAGAAAAGCCAGGGGGAATTACTAAAAATGAAGGTTGCCAAAATTCAAATATTGACAAAACTCTGAAAAGCAGTCCCAGCGCAGCTCTGGCTTGTCTCGGGTGGTAAAAGCAGACAGAATGCAAATCACTGTCATTTCAGCACTTGCGGCCAAACAAGGAGTCGACAATGTTTAAAAAAAAATAATAAAAAAGTTATAAAGAAAAAAAATGCCTATTTTGCCCAAAACAACGATGCACTTTGAACGTTTGCATAATACGTCCGCTGAACTTGACTTTTCAGGCGCAAAATGATATTTCCCGTGTCATGCGATCAAACACCCTTTTTCGTCTTCTAAATCAGGTCAAAGGAACAGTTGTCCCTTGACAAATTCTTATTTACAGAAAAATCCTAATTTGGTGTCTTGATATTGAGTAGTGAAAGATTGGAAAAAAATAAAAGAAAAATGACTGCAAACCTTTTCTGGCTTCACATTGAGGATGTGACAGAACTGATCCAAACACACACGCACACACACGCACACACACGCGCAGAGCCATGCTCTTGCAGCCCCGTTTCAGGATCCACTGCTATTGCAGGATGAGCGGTGTCACGGATGCGACCGTTCTCCCAAATCTCTGTGCGCCTTTCCGGCGATTATTATCAACGCCAGTCTCAAGAGCAGCAGATCATTCCTGTTCCTGTTTACAAGTGCTGCAGGAAAAGACAAAACACTGTACAGAGTTCCACTTCAAATTGAAAATAAGACTGCAAGATTTCCACATTGAAAGTCCACATCTCGTACGCTTTGCTGCACATGGTGAAGCTATTCCTTCACCGCCTCGTCCTCTTGCTCTTTCTCCTCCTTCCGCTCCTCTTCTCCTCCCTTCTCTTCTCCATCTCCACCTGAAGCCTCGGCCTTGCCATTATTTCCTCCATCTTTATCCCCATGAGCCCCATCCTCCGCTTCTTTTGATTCTTCCTCATGCTGAAAAGAATAGGACCAGGTTTGTTTGCTGCTGTCGTAATACGGAAAGCCATTTGAGCATTTAGTCGACGTCCTCGGGATTCATCTTAGGGTACTTTGTCGTCTCTAGTAAGACCATTTAGTACACTACAACTGTAGAACAAAGCGGAGGCATTTGTGGAACGACTGTCTTAACAGTAATCTTTTCCCCGACTACTAGTGACCAAAATGCACACATAAAAGTCTTACGTTTTCTCCAAAATGGACAGGGCGCCTTGTGTATGCACCGAGTTCCAAAATCTGTTGTGTGACTTTGATGAGGGGTTTGCTTGACTGACCGATGTTGTGACAAGACGGCACATTTTCTTGCAAAAATATCTTCCAACCGGGAACGAAAATAGGCTATGCCACAATTTGCGGATGCTTGGGGCTGACGTGTCTGCTCGCACTGTTGTTGGAGCATTTGCAAAAGTCTGTTGTATTTGAATGGCAATCATTAATGGTGGAACTCGGACAGCCAAGTATTCTCCGAGGTGGTGAAACGCGTCGTTTGGGATGGATGACGAGAACATCGAATGATTGCTCAAACGGCTTTCCATTGGGTTAAAGCGGCAAAGAGCAAAGACGGTTTTGGCTTAACTGGGCAGCGCAAATGTCAACGTATGTAAAGACGTTCCACAGGTGCGATACCTGTTTGACGCGGCTCCTCCTCCGGCTCGGAACGCGGGCCTTCATCCTGCGCGACAGCGCCAGCAGCTTGTTGTGTCTCTGTCTCCTCTTCGCCTTCTCCTCCTCTTCTCTCCGCTTCTCATCTGCACGGTCCGAATCCGAATCATCCTGTCGCTGAACCCTGCACCTCTTCCTGGGCTGCACCATTCTCTTCGGCTGACTCGTAAGCTCCTTCTTTCCCCCGTCATCGTCGTCGTCGTCGTCATCATCATCGTCGTCGTCGTCTTCATCGTCATCGTCCCGCTCCTTCGCGGTGCTCGAAGACGAGGAGGTTTCGTCGCCTCCCAGAAAAGAGCGCTTTCGGCGGGTCACGGAGCGGCTGTCGTCGCTGGATGTGGCTCCGGAGTCACTCCTTTTCCACTCCTCCTGGTCACTGTCCTCCTCCGGGGAGCTATGGAAGTCGGACTGGGACCCGGACGACGAGGACGAGGAGAAGGAGCCCTCGTCACTGTCGTCCAGGATGGAGGCAGGCAGACCGATCTGCCTCTTCTTGGACAGGCCCGTCTTGGTTTTGCGCATCGAAGCGAACATTTTGCGCTTGTAAAGGCTCTCCATGTTTGCACTCGGGAACGGAAACCAGGGACATTAAACAAAAAAGACGAGTACGATAGAGTTCGAACAGGCTAACCTATCACCCGCGCGTCGATATGGAAGCGTAGAGCCGCGCTGAGAAGCTACACTGCATCTGAATTCGTAAACTGCACAATAATGTGTATCGCGTTACTTGCAAAGAGCAGCTGTCAGTCGGTATGACTTACAGCTGGATTAAGTCTGAGCGCGTCACATTCCCTTGCTGCTAGCACTGTTATTGTTGTGATCACACTTCTTCTTCGCTGCAAAATAGAGACGGGCGTTACAGCGCCCCGGGCGGAAGATTGTCACATCGCAACAAGGAGCCGGCAACTGGATTACTGCATGTGGAAAAACAAATTCGAGATTTCAAAATCAGTTACTTTAGTGTAATTGATACACACTGGATCCGGTGCCCCGGGTGCCTTCAAAGGCTTAGAAAAGCTAAAATTAAGCTAACCTGTAAAGATGCATTTCAAGGTTCATCCTGAAATTTCACCGCAGAGTCCAATATCGCTGACTTTCTGGGAAGTACAGTAGTGCATTTCTGCATTACACTGAAAAATACACTTGGACAAGTGTCGTCTTCTCAAATCTCCATGAGGCCTTTAATATTGTACTGACATGAACGTTGAACAGGTTTGCATCACATCATGAAACTGTTGACATCGCCGTTCAACTGGATAATAATCTCTGTAAGGAAATGAATAATCCTTGAAGTCAATTCCTCATACTGTTATGTTGTATAACCAAGGCCCCCCCCGCAAATGGGCAACACTCAAGTTTGCAGTCAGGACTTCTGTGCAAGGAGCGTGCTCAGTTTGATCTTTCCGTCCATGGAGGCAGTGAGGCAGGTACCGCAGTCCAACGCCGACCACCAGTCGACGGTCACCACCGGTGCTTTGTGTCCACCCAGGGACAGCAAGCTCTCCAGCGCAGGATCTCCATTCGTCAGCTGGACGAGGGGGAGGGGCACACACACGAAAGAGAACCAGGAGACACTTGATTAGATTTCCCCTGTTGAACATCAGTTTTTTATGCTCAGTTCCAATCGTCAAAGAAATGTAAAGAAAAACAACTGCCGCATTTTCACGACCGCAAGGCGCGCTTAAGAAGTCTTCCATTTTCTCCAAAATGTGCGCATGATAATGTGTGACTTTGATGAGCGCTCCGCTTGACTGACTGGGGGCATTTCCTGCCGGCACGCCGCTATCAGCTACGGGGAGGAACATGGGAATCCGGCAGCTGTGAGACAATTCAACATCGGCGTCTCCATGGTTCGCAATACAGAAATAGCACCCGTAGCTGATGCTGCGCCTTTTAATACAAGGCGCGTTATGGTTGCGAAAATACAGTCATAAAAAAATGAAAAGGAAACACGATGTAAAATATTGCTGGTGCATGAAAGTAGATGTCTTTACTTTGTAAATGATCCCGCCAGAGCTTGAACAGGTCAGCACATGTTGTCCTTCTGAATCAAAGGTGAAGAGACGACCTCGGGGAACCTGGACCTGAAAAAAATAAAATAAAATTATGGATATTTATTTGTATTCCCCACAGGGACATACTGGGGTTGGGAATTTGAGATGGAGAGGCCCCAAGGCGCACGGTTCTTCACAATGTCTTCCTTGAAGCTTCTCGTTTCTGTTTGTGCTTCAAGCTGTTTTTCAAAGCACTCAAGTGGATGACTAACAACAACCTGCATTAATTACAGTCGATGCACGAAAGTCACGACTCACGGCAAAGCACGCTAAACTGGGTGGGCTTTTTGGATCTGTTCCCGTATACCTGTTTATAGCCGCTGTACCCGGAGAGGACAAAGGGCCCAGTGGCATCTTGAGGTAAAACCTGCTCTGACTGCTTGACGCCACACCGGTGGATGTTCCACTGGATGAACTGAAGAAACAAACGTAAACAATCTCAAGACACTTGCATTTCAAAGTAGGCGTAACTGAGAAACCGGATGCACATTTCGGGTGGCGAACCAGGCGCACCTTGCCATCTTCTCCGACGCTAAAGACGGTGTTTTCGTCGTAGCTGAATTCCACACTATAAACCTCTCCATCGTGTGCCCTCCAGCTCATGGCGCTCTCATACTGCTGCATGTCTGCGGAGGGAAAGCGAGAGAATTCAGATAGTCTCGACTCTTAGCTGCCCACGCGGCAAATTGACGTGTCTTGTTCTACACAAATTGCTCAGCTTTTTCGGTAAGAATCAGCGAGACTAATAGATAATTACGTTTGCAGTGCTAATCAACAAAATGTGCATTCAAAAAAATATATGAAAATACAAACCGAAGAGTCTGATGACTCCGTCTGCGGCTCCGGTGACCAACAAATTCCCATTGTGGTTGAAGGCCGTGCAGTTAATGGCGACTGGTTCAGGTTCCAAAGAGAACTGGAGCTAAGCCAAAGACACAAGTCGCTGATTTTGAGGCTCCGGCAACACCCGTGACCCTCGTGAGCACAAGCGGATTAGAAAATGGATGGCTGGATGTACATTTTGTGCGCAGCGTGCACACCAAGAAAAGTGCAGATGTAACCACGAATGAGACCAAAAAGGCGACTTACTGCATTCAATCCCAACACGGGTTTGTCTGCTCCTGGGATTGCACGCTTCATATTGGAATGTAGCATTCTGCCCTCATTTGACATGACAGATGATCATTCTCGTATCGGATGACCCAGTCAAATAATCATGCCACAGTGTACGACGAAGACGAAGCGATGATGGGACGACGCGTGACGGAGCCGTTTCGGTCTCTCTTCATTCATTGATTTGAAGCCGTACCTGCTGTTTGACTGTCTTGGTGTCCCAAAGCAGCAGCTGCCCGGACACCTGCGTGGGGAGACGATGAGCAGGCTCGGCCAGTCCACTTCTGTGGACGGCCGCAGCTGAACAGACAAAGGACGAACCGCTGGGGCTGCAGGCCAATGACAAGATGCTGAGGGGAAAGAGGGGGGGGAGGGGGGGGTTATGGTGTCAGAATGTGTTCACTGGCATCGCAGAGACAACGTTGTACAGTGTTTGACTGGATATCCTCAAATGAAAAAGGCGGAGGGGCTTACCGTGGATGAGTTTCATCAATGTTCATCTCATACAGATTCTTCTTGGCTTCTGTATCGTACAGGCGGACTGTGCCAACACCACTGCCGAGTAACAACTCAACACGCACACACAAATAGCGATGAATTGATTTTAGTGAATGACGTCACTCTCATATAGGCCACGAGACAATTCTGATTGATCAAGTGAGGGTTATTTCCCATTTTGAAATGTTGGTAGTCGGGATTATTTGCAGTGTTTCTGTCAATTGTCTTCTCCTACCAATCGGTCGGGCTTGGTGGCCCACTCGAGGGACAGCAGAGGAGACTTGGACATGATGGTTGCTTTGGTCTGCATGATTGGATTGAAGGACCACACCTGAAGTGTGACACAGAAAGCGCCAGCGTTACCGTGAGTTTAATAAGGCGCGACCGTTATTTGATACGCCCTGAAGATGGCCGACCCAGATTTACCTTAATGACACCGTCCACATCTAAACTGGCGACTCTGCGACCAGAGCAATCGACCCTAAACGAAACGAGAGTTTTGAAAGGGCAAGTTATCAAAGTCGCGTGGCAAATGAGGTCGTGGTCACCACGTCCAAATTCCTTTGGGATGCAAGCGAGCGTTTTGCCGAATGTCTACCTGCAGTGCATGATGGAGGAATGATGTTCCCCATATTCCTCCTGGCTGAGTTTGATAAATGGCTGTTCTGCGGCGAGCCCCACGCCTTCTTCTGCGCCTCCTCCTCCGCTCCTGCCGTATGAAGGGGAAGAGTCGGGAGCTTCGACTGAGGTCTCATTTGGAGGCTCCGCCTCTGCCACCTCCCCCTTTTTCTCTTGGAACTGAAGAGAAACATTCAAATGGTTGGTCTGCAATGACCACGTACGGAACCCATCGCATCATTCAAGTGGGATTTTGTTTGTGAGCAGAGCAAGGATTTGAAACTTGCCCGTTCAACTGTCAGGTACCTGCGGCGATGCTTTTGAGAAAAGCTCCTTCCGCTCCTTCTCGTGAACTTGAATTTTCTTGTGCCGTGAATGCGGTGGCTGGTTTGCATGTTGGGATTGAGAACTTTCACTGGTTGATACTTGACTGCAGGCTGCTTTCGCTTCTTTGAGTTGGACTGCATCCTTGGTCTTTGAAGACTGGAAAATAGGTGGTACGGAAAGGGTCGAGAAAATTGCAAAAGTCATTCTTCGTATGACATGATGACATCCAAGAACTCAAATCCCGCACCTGTAAAATGGTGGCAACGGCGTCCAAAGTATTTGACATTGTCACCTGACTCGTTGGTTGGTCCTTTCTGCCGACGGCCGCCTGGCTTGGTGAAGATACCGAAGTTCCCTGATGCGCTTTCCCTCCAGGGGTGCGCCGACCTTGCGGTAGGAATGTTGAGAAGAAGTTCCTGGATGGTGTGGTGACAACACTGACAGCCCGTTGGCTTGACACTAAGTCGCTGAGAGCAGAAGAATAGGTCACCATTTTGGGTGTAGGAGAAAAAAAAAAAAAAAAAAGATCCAAGGGATGAATCCTTCAGACTTCTAAGGGGAGCCAATTGATTTACCTGAAGTTTGCTTGTGTCGTTTAAGAATAGGCGCTTTCTATTCTTTAATGTTGCTTTGTGATCTGAAAATTCTGTTAATTTTGTGTGAGAACATGACAGTGATGGTCGATGCCACGCACATTGTCACTTGGCATGGGCCGATGAGGCAGTTTGACATTGACCACGGTTTTGTCACTGGTAATGAGCACCTCTTCTCTTCTTTGAGGGGGACGTCGAAACAGGGCACAGCATGATTGGCTGTTTGCAGAGTTGCGTAAACGTGCCGCCTCTTTGAAGTGAATTGACTCCAATGATTATTATTATTTTTTGGGGTCCTTCTCTGAGAGCAGTTACAAACAAGGCAGAGGAGAACGGCAGCAGGGAGCACTGCAAACATGGACTCCTTTTTTCATTGTGCCTTGTCCAAAAAAAAAAAAAAAAAAGCCACCATTGGGTACTACTACTTTGTAAAAAAAAAAAAAAAAGAAAATAAATATTAATGACTAAAATCTATCAGTCACTTTAGTGATCCATAATGATGCTGTTTTTTAAACGAATTGACTGAACCCCCCCACCCCCACCCCCACAAAAAAACCAATAATTCATTAAATGAACTGTTTATTTGGCAACATCAACCGCATCACAGCAAAGTGTAAACAGCATGTGATTTGGATTGGTCCTTGAACTTAGTAAATAACTTAGTGGATTAAAACATTTTGGAAGTATTCCTGAAGTAAACGATCAGACAAAAAGACAAACTTCACTCAACGTGTTTTCTGCGGCGAAAAAGTGCGAATGCAGATTTGGTACGGCTGATGACTTGCAACTTCCGCTACGGCGCGCTCACAAATCAATCACTTCAAATAAATACATTTAACAACATCACGCATCTAAAATATTATCAAACAAACTCCTCATAAAATATCATGAAGTGACTCAGAAGCAGGCGTTTGTTCAAAGCACTCACATTTGAATTGCAGGTTTGGTTGACGATTAGCATTCATGTTAAAGACGGCTGCCATTTTTCCCTTGGAGTACTTCAACCAATTTAAAACCGAGTCGGAACGTTCACCTAACCATTGACAACCTAAATGCATGCTCATTAGTTGTGACTTTTGTTTGTTCAGAGTTGAAACATTTTGGGCAACGTGTCGAGAAGGCGAAAGTTGAAAAAAATGGCAGCCGGTTTTGGAGTCATACACGAGAAAAGTGACGCGAGTGCCTCACAGCTCAGTATCTCCCAGCCGGTCCATGTTCTGAACATACAACGGCAGCTTGTGATGGACCGCCTCATCTCCAGCCTTCTGGTCTCGACTCTCTGTTTGCAAGGCAAAGACCTGGACAAGATGAGGTGAGACAAACAACAAGAATTCTTCAAACATGGATGATGTGGCCAATTTTAGTTCATATTTAAAAGGAAACATCCATTACCCAGAATTTAAAATCGTTCCCAAGTGTCTCAACAAATGCTCTCAGGTTTTCAAAATACACATAAAAGAAATACATGTAATTTTTATTGATTTATTTTTGCTCCATCCATCCGTTTTCTAATCCGCTTATCTTCAGGAGAGTCGCAGGCCTTACGATTGGTTGGCAACCTGTTCAGGGTGTCCCTCGCCTACCGCCCAAAGAGCGCTGGGATAGGCTCCAATATGCCCGCGAGCCCCGCGAGGAGAAGCGGATTCAAAGACGGATGGACGGATACAAGTTGACTGAAAAAATGGACGCATTCATTCAAGGCCACGCACTCACCAGCTGACGAAGCTGCTCATTCTCCTCGGTGAGGCTTGTTGTCTTCTGGACTTCGGCATCAAAACTCAGCAATACTGGTTGGGGTGAACCCCGGTTAAGGACTAAAAAAAAAAACAACGACCTCCCACTGAACATTTGGTAAGCCCCCTCGCGGCCCATCTTTAAAACTCGTCTTGAAACTCATTTTTATTCTTTGACTTTTGACTCAGCATGAGCCTTGATTTTTAATTTGACTGTTTTTGTGCTTTCTACGGTCTTCGTTGTGAATTGATTGATTGTTGTTGCATATATGTACAGCACTTTGTGTACAGCGGTGGTTGTTTTGTTTTGTGAAGAGCTCTCGAAATTGAATTGAATTGAGTTGAGTGCCTGTGATACACTAGCCAGCTTTCTCTTTTTTAAAATGAACGTACTGCGACTGTTGATGGTTTCGAGCACAGCAGATGCAGAAGATCTCGCTGCCAGCAATTTGTTTCCTCTAAAATGTCTGGATTTGACGGAAGGATATGCATACACTGGAAGAGCACCGAAAGGAAGTTGTGCAGGGAAACCAGGAAGGTGTCGGACCACTGGCGGGAGAAATACGGAGCAAAAGCCGGGTTCTGTTCGGGTGCAGGAATAAACGGCAAGATGAACCAGTCTCGCCACTCAGCTTGACCCTGCAGCTCGATAGCCTGCTTCTGGAAAAACTCCTGAGTCTTCTCCAAGTTTCCTTTCTGGCCAGTGAAAAAATGAGAGAAACTGTTAATCCAAGACCTCGGAATACCATCAAAACGTATTCTTTGCATTTGCCTTACCTGGATGGTGTTGATAACGTAGTATCTGTACAGGCTTGCTCTTAGTTTGTTGACAGTGGATCGGTAAACATCCTCCAGTCTGCAGAAAAGGCGCCGGTCCAAGTAGAGCCAGTAGTCCTTCAGGCCAGACAGGTCAAAGCCGTGGATGAACTGCAGCAGCTGATCAATGATCTTGTCCACCTGAAAGGAAAGGATTTTGTACACTTGGAAGCACACCCCGAAGTGTCACTCTTCCTTGAGTACCACAAATATTAGGAAAACCCGACAAATGAGGCCAGATTCAGAATCAGCGAGAAAAAAATGATTCTAGAAAAGTTTACTTGCATCTCGGATTTAAAAAAAAAAAAAAAAGCCAAAAAAAAAATCATTGATCAATAATCGTAGAATTCTGAGTCTACGACTGCATATTGTGATTTGTCACAACATGAAATACTAAACACACGCGCAGAGTTGAAGTGAGAAGACAAAGTCATACCCTGAACCCTTTGTCCTTGTCAGCTTTTATTTCACTGTCCAAGTTTTTCAGAGTGTTGGTGAAGCCACGATAGAGCAGATATTCCCGCACATGTTCATCTGTTCTCTCCACCGCGGAACCCATGATGATCTGCCGCCCTAGATCAAGTGCAATGAAGGAGTGAATGAATGAATAAATAACTACAGTATCTGTTTCGTGACTGCTTGTCCTCTTCGGGTCACGTGTAAATGGAGCCTATCCCTGCTAACATCAGGCAAGAGGAGGTGGTTTAAAATCGGTCGGCAGTCAAGCGCAGGGTGCTGACATTCACACCAAGGAACGACTTACTACAGTCTTTGATTGGCCTAAGATGCACGTTTTTGCGAATGTGGAAAGTAGAAGAAGTCAAAGTGACAAACGTCACACATAAATTCCATAAACACTTGAACATAAACTGTGCGTGCAGGCACACACACAACTTATTGTAATAATATTGTACATTATTGCATTTGTATTTTGTGTAGATATAATTCGTCTTCCACTATGACACCCTTGTGTGAAACTGAAGCCGTCCAGTTTGTTTCATTATTGAAGATCCTTAATACAATTTTAAAATGTTCAACTGTGGATTGTTTCGCCAAGAAGACATGACTTTCGGCTTTTCTCTGTCAGGGTCGTCACAACGAGCCATTAGCATGATTTGTTTAGCACACTATTTATGTACGTATCGACTGTTGCGTGACTTTCCGACATCAATGCACAATTTGACATAGTCATGATGTGAATGTGAACATCGCCAAACACGTCATAACCCAAGAGCGTTACGCGTTGTTGTTGTTACAGTTGTCGTATTTGCACGCCGAATTGTGTGCACGTTTTAACTAATATTGGAAGATACCTTTTAGCGCAAGGAAGACTTCAGTAGTTCCTCTTGACAGGAGCAACGTACGCCACCGTGCAAACCAATGGTGAAAAACGTGAAACCGGAATGAACAAGAGTTAAGTGCAATTACTTTCCAGTATACCTCGCAGCTTTGTTTCACATGTTGTGAAATTATACTCCAGACATTTATCGCATCCACGGAGCAAACGCTTCCTGTTTTTGTCTCCTGACAGTCATGTGACATTTCCCCGTGACGTCACACACTAGCCTTTTACCCAACGTTGCCCCCTGGTGGTACACATATCAAAACATTTCAACCCACTCAAAAATATGTTCAACAAATACAATAAAAACGTGACGCATCTACAACTTATACAGTTACTAGTAGCTACGTAAATAAGGGAAAATGACGCCGTTCGCGATTATGCTTTAAATGTGATTATTTTGACACAAACCTTTTTGTTCAAATTATAGCCCAAATTCATTTCTCTATTAATTCACTTCTCTAAAACATCGGTATTAGCGTTTCAACCTTCGCGAACGTCAATGTGAAATGGGTGCAACTCCTCACGATACATCGTGGGGTGACGTCAGTAACAAGCGCTCTACTACGTCACCGAGTTGTATCATCGGGAATAAAAAATCTGCATTTATTATACCTTATTTCTAGTCACGAATAAAAATATATTGTTATAAGGAATATTCAATAAGTTAAACGATGCTATTGTAACAAAGGCACAGAATATACTTGCGCTCCTTCCAATCAGTTGCTGAGTGTAGTTACTTTAGCAACCACACAACAAGAACGTCGGCAAAGGCCAAAGAAAGGGAAATGGAGGGGACCAGTGAGCTTTCTCCAGTCAGGGGCAAGCAGAGCATTTCAGAGGTGAACTTTATGGAGACGACGAAGATGTCTGTTGCCTCCACTTCCGCTCCTCTTTTTGGAACCTTCAAAGAAGAACACACCAACATCCCAGAGGCGGTCGACGACTTTATCAGGAACTTCCTGCAGAAAATTGGCCTGAGCCGGACTCTGGACTGTTTTGAGGTCGAGTGGTACAGCTCAGCTCAGAAACTCCTGACAGAGCCCTTGTTGACAGCTCCCCCACCACCGGGCGCCCTTGTCATCCCCGATGCCCTCACGCACAAACAACTCCTTCAGTCTGAACTGCAGAAGGTCTACACAGAGACGAACCATTTCAAAGAGGAGGTGCTGTCTGCGGGGGACAGCCTCGTGAGGCTGCAGAGGGACCGAGATCTGCACCGGCTGCACTGCCAGAAACTCGTCGCTGACAAAAGCCGTCTGATGGAGGACATTAAGCGGCTGAAGAAACGCCTGGCGGCCTATGAGCCGGCGCTGAGGCAGCTGGATGACAAATATGAGGCAGCCCTGAGACAGAAGATGCTTCTCGGTTTGGAAAGTGAACGGATACAGAACAACCTGAACGCCGGTCTGCTTCTGGACAAAACCCGAACCAAGATGGAGAGACGCACCAAGAAGAGCAGCGCCCAACTGCCAACCCTCCCCAGACACCCAAAGGACACCGAGTTTCCCGTCTGCAGCAGGCCAGTGAACCTTCAGCGCGCTCAGGGAAATCCCGGAGAACAGAAAAGCCTGAATTCATTCAATCTGTTCTATTCCATCAAAGCCCACGCTCTTCCCATTAGCTGCATCAGCCAACTTCCCGGGAAAAAAATCCTCGCCAGTGCCAGTGATGACTGCAGTTGGAGGCTGTGGGCACTGCCAGCCAGCAGGGAGAAGGTAGGAACACACATGCCTCTCCGCACAGCATGGATCTACTCCCCACCCCTTAATATTTGACTGCCATAGTGTCACTGATCATGACTAACATTAAATTATGGTATTAGTAGGTGTTTAAGATAAGGATGGACGGGTATTCTATGTGGTCCCACTTGTCTACAGAACACAGTCAGAAATATTGTCACAATAATCAGTGTAAAGTGACATTTTAGACGTGATCCGATCATAATTGAATCAAATCGTTGGCATACGCTCACTTGCTGTTGTACTATTTGTGTCATCAGGTGGGCCAGATGGTCCTGACAGGTGAAGGTCACTCCGATTGGCTGTCCAGCTGCAGTTTTCACCCAGAAGGAACGAAACTGGCAACAACCAGTGGAGACACCACAGTCAGTTGACGGTTACTTGTCGCCTTGTCAACGAGACGCTCATTAGAACGTTCTTTACACTGGACTAACGTTTCATTTAGTTGGCTCCACCAGGTTGTCACTGACATTTAGCTTTTTTTTTATATATATATATATATAGAGAGAGAGAGAGAGAGAGAGAGAGAGAGAGAGAGAGAGAGAGAGAGAGAGAGAGAGTGCTCCCATATTCACTGACAAACTCACCTGTTTGCTCTTTCTTGATCAGGCCGAAGCCTTCTGTGCTTATTTCGTCTTTAACGTTTGACCTTTACATTTTTTTTTTCTGCAGGTTAAGCTCTGGGATTTGTTTTGCGGACGTTGTGTGTTGACATTCTCCGGTCATAGCCAACCCACCTGGGGGTGCTCCTTCCATTCGTGCGGTCACTTCCTGGCATCCTGCTCCTCCGATAAAACCGCCAAACTGTGGGACCTGAATAGCCAGCGCTGCCGGCTGACAATGCGTCGCCACACCGCCTCCGTCAACAGCGTCTGCTTCCAGTCCTTCTCCAACACTCTCCTCACTTGTTCGGCAGATAAAACTCTCGCCCTGTGGGACATCAGACTCGGAGTGTGCACCGCATCCTTCGTCGGACACCAGCATCCCTGCAATCACGCCACCTTGGGCCTTGGCGAGGAAGTTGTCGCTTCCTGCGACACCCGCGGCATCGTCAACCTGTGGGACATCCGGAGGCCCGCCTCGCCCCTTCGCACGATCGACGCCGGGCCCCTGAGTGCCAATCAGGTGGCGTTCAATCCATCGAGGAAGATGCTGGCAATCGCAAGCAGCGATAGTTTGGTTAGACTGGTGGATGTGGATTCATGCAAAGTCAGCAGCCTGTCCGGACAAAGGGACAGTGTGCAGAGCGTCACCTTTGACCACACGGGAAAAACGGTCATGTCTGCAGGGAGTAATGGGCTCATTAACGTATGGATGTAAGACAGTCAAGGGGAACAGGACGTTGTGCTGATCAAAATCAAGTTTCGCATAATACTGGGCAGTCAAATGCTATTTGATGGATTTTAACCTCCAATTATACAAAAAATTTCCATACTCCCCTTTAGAGTACATTGAAAACCTTTTTTTGTGCCACAGACCAGTTGAGACAAGTACATGCTTTTCCCGGACCGGCAAGCTTTTTTTTTTCTTCATTGCTTTTAAATGTTTTGTTTTAAGGCCCAACAAAGACAATTCTCGAGTGATTCAATATTTTATGAACATTCATTCATTTCAAACAGTGTTATTCTGCTGCACAACAAATGTAGAATCAAATAACAGAACACAGTGAGCTACGAAGAAACGGACCGATCAGGAATTCCGCATTATAATGTAAAAATAATCATTTTAAACTTATGATCCTTCATACGGCGTTAGCATCATTGCTTTTTGCAAATGGGACTGATGAATAGATGACTAGCGATTGCGGCTTCCATCCGGTGGCTGCTGCGGCTCGCTATTAGCAACTACGCCGCTCATGTTTACTTGGGCAGGCTGCGCAAACTCCGCTCGCATTTTTGCTACTTGTTCAAATGAGTCAACGGGTTTCTTGTCGTGTCTTGTTTTTGACGACATCCTTTTGACGAGGAACTTCTCTTTGTCAAAATAGCTTCATCTTCGGAAGTCACGGCTGCCCAGCAGCTGCGCCTTGAGCTGTGTACGTTTGCTCAATTTGTTACGATTAAGTTCTGTTTCCTGTTTTCTTTTTTTGGCGAGCAAACCAAAGTTAGAAGGGGGGCTCCGATTGGCTAGAGTCGCGCGCATTTCCGACACGTCAGATGGTTTAAATTTGCTCACAGTTCGCAGGTCTGTCTTTGTGTGTCCCGGTCCCAAATGGGCCAAGGTCCGGTATCGGTTTGCGAACCGGTGGTTGCGTACCACTGCTCTATTAGACTTCTATCTGAAACAAATTCCAAATATATTTCAGCATCTGCTCTTCTTGGCAACGACCAGCTTCACAGAACTGAAACTCTTGCGACGACAGTGGGAACCCTGCGCTACCGGTGACACTGATTCAAAACGTCTCCGTCTGACACGGTTTCCATATTGAACGGGAATCCTGCAGATGAAGAAGAGTACTGTCCTTCGTCTATATCCTCCTCTTCCTCATGTTTTTCTCTCGGTTCCTCCAACAGCAGCTTCAGGCGATTGAGGTGATGAAGGGCCCTGCGGATGGAAACTGTTTTTCAATTAATGGGCTTTATAATACTGCATTTATCAGTTACATACAACATGTATGGGCTCAATCATTTTCTGTAGAGGGCGCAATTAACATTTCACGTTTCGCTTGGGGAGTTCGACATAAATTTGCAGCACTGCAGGCTCGTACCGAAATGAAAATATGCCGACATAATATTATAACTTGTCTGGATTAGGTCACAGTGGTGCACAAGGCTAAAATATGCTAAGCGGTTGTTAAATCGCTATGTTATTTAGCACGCTTTGACTGGCGTGTGAGGGAAATGAAAATGGTTCTATTAGAATCATACGACAAATCATTGGCCACAATAATTGGACGGGCAAGAACATGTCGCACATTCACTCAAGAATGTCGAGAGCGTCTTGCCAGCGAACACGACGGTCATTTTTCAGTTGGCCGAGAGCAGTGTGGAACCGTGAAAGGAGCAATGCACATTTCATACTCCCAAAAATTGCTGCGGTGGTGTTGCCATGCTTGAAAGGACCTCTTTCGTGTTTGCAGAAGAAATCCACAATGACAGACGTACTATTCGCAATTCAGGTATCAGCCCATTGCCTTCAACGACCAGATAAGCCATTATTGAATATGGCAATTATGTTACCAAAATAAGATGTTTGATGATGCCTTGAAATAATTATTTCGCTTTTTTTCATTTTACTATCGCCCATCCAAATCTGTCGTTTGTCATTGTAGGGATGTTTAATGACTAAATGTGGGAGATTGATGATTGACGCGGTCAGTTACGTTACCTTTGTAGTGACGGTGCAGCAGATAAATCCTGTTCCGCTTCACTTTTGGGCCTCTGCAAAACAAATAAGCTATGGAATAGAGTGGAAGAGAAAAGAAGCCTCCCGAGTGTCCCATTAGGGAATCACATTCTTTACACTCTTCATGTTAATGCGGTCCAAGCTTGGCTTCGTTTTGAGGTTTCGAAAGTCAACGAAAGTGCGCTTCATCAAGCTGGCCGCAAACGGAGGAATTTTGAGCTTTTATGGGGAGAGTCAACAAAAAGCTTACCCTTTGAGTGTCTTTCCTGCAAGGCGCCGCGATGGGTAAATGCTGTTGTCGGTGAAGCTCCGCCTCCACGGCCTGCAGTCGAAACATCATCTGTTTCAGAGCCTCCAATGGGCCGGGTTGCTTGCAGACGCTGCTCCCGTCGCAACTGAAATCCTGAGTCAAAAGGAGACAAGGTATGCAGAGGGAATCCTTGCAGGACAATATCAACCATCGTGCGGCAAGGTTATTGAAGAGCCAAAAGCCCGACGAAATACAGCTTTACGGTCAAATGTGTCCCTTTGTCTTTTGCACATCTGAGGGTTTCAAGGGCTGGTTCAAATGTTTCCATCCTTACATACGCGCGTTCTCCAACCAAGACTCTCGTTTGGTCTGTTGTGTTAATTCTCTCAAACCACTCAAGGATGAGCGTCGTGAGGGTTTTCCGGAATCACCGGTCAGCCCTACCTGCTCGCTTTCCTCTGGCAGAGCCCCCTTGATGACGTCTGCCGCTCCCTCCGATTCTCTGCGCCATCAATAAAACCATTAGAGATGCAGGACGGTATTGATTGTTCATCAATGAAAGCAAATCAAAGCAAAAGTGTGAATGTAGGCATTCTTACATAGGGGCAGGAGGACCTCGTAAAGTTGAACAGAGCTTCATTTCTTCAATATTCAATTCTATGTGAGCAAAGGAAACATGCATATGAAAATGAGTCAACATAAACTATTGTATCTACTTTATTTTCCCGATTTAGTCATGTTCGGGGACGTTCTGGCTGTTGCTCATCGTGGCGTGCGTGCGATCACGGAAGGTTGGCTGCTTGAAAAGTAGATCTTGGGTCAAAAAAGGGTTGGGCACCCCTACGAAATACCGAGATTACCTGAATCTGCAAGACTTTCTCTTCTTGCAAAACTGTGCGAAAGCGAGCTCAGCACTTCATCCGCTTTCTGGATCAGTGACTCGAGCCGCTGGTCTGACATAAGGAGCACAGAAAGAGGAGTCAGCACAGATGGCGGGGCGGTTAAGCGTCACCATATCATTTTCTATGATTTACCTCTCACAAGAGATTCTGAGAAGTCGGAGCTTTTTCTCTCTGAAGCCAGCAAAGATATCTGTTCGGCAAACTGGATCCTCAGATCTTTTAGACACTGCTGGGTGTCACCCTGATTTTTTTTTTTTTACAAACAATAAACAAATAAAATCACCCATCATTCAATTTTTTTCTTTCATTTCTTGAAGTCGAAGCTCAATCCATGAAATGTTTTTGTTTTTTTAATTAGTCATTCCTTAAAGTGATCACATGTGCAAAGTGTCCCAACTCAGTATGCAATAGAATCGAATGCACAAACATGATCTGACAGAACCCTGAGCAGTCCAGGAAAATCTAATGCAATGCAACAATCGATCAAGAAAAGGCATTTTGATCTTATACCTGATCAGGTGTCCTGCCAGCATCATCCTTTGTGTTTGCAAACCGAGAGGGTGCAGTGCTTATTGATGCTACTGGAGGTACACCACCTTTAAGAACAACAACAACAACAAAAAAAAAGGACAAAAACTTAAGCTAAAAAAAAAAAAAAACATGGCAAGACTTTGGGTTTGCACAATAGTGAGGGAATGATGGGCGCTGTATAAAAACTTCTCAGATCTTAGTTAACAGAGTGAATGATGCTCTACCAGGCTTGTCAGAAAAGTAGACCTCTGATGGGGGTAGTGGCCCTACAAGGTCACAATCTTGGATCCAGGCAGGCACGCTGCTGATCCCAGAGCGGCCCAGATCTGCCTTGTTCTCATCGTCCCCGCGTTGTAAATGGGGCGACGAAGACAGCAACGCCTGCTCTGCCCTCGCCGCCCTGTGGGCACACTTCGCAGAAGAAGACAAGCTCACGTTAGAATATGCGCCTCAAGTAGTGTACCGAGACTCCAAGAGAAAAAAATAGTGAAGGGCAATTACTGTTAAGCATCTGACAAAGGGGACATCCTGTTTCAAAGTGGAGACTTCGGGTTCTACGTTCCACCTGAGGGGGGATGATGCACATCCGTCAAAATCCCAAACGACACACGGAATGATGAAATAAGGAAGACAACAGCCCCAACCTGCAGCTGCGGCAATTGCTTCTTAAATGTGGGTGGGATACGTTATCCCCTGTTCTGTACCCCGGTTTGGACGAGCCACGGCTTTGAGAGGCCGAAGACCGAAACGAGCGACCTGCAGCGGCAAACAAACAAGGAGGCGACCACACTTTAGGTTAGATTGCTAAATACAATCGCGCTGATGAGGTTCAAATGTTTCCCGCACGCATCACATTGCAAGTGATGTCGGGTATGTATTTTGAAAACCTTGGATAAAGGCGGTTGTGTGGGTGACAGGCATGGAGCCATCGCGGGGGATGGACAGCAGTTCGTCGGTCGTCATCGAAAGTCTATCGCGGTTGTCGCGGTGACGGAGGGAACTGACGGGGAGGGTCAGGAAATCCACCTCTCTGTCGGTTAAAGCTTCCCGGAGAACTACAAGTCGAAACACAAAACATATCCTGTGAACCGGGAAAATCCATCCAGTCATCCATTTTTCCCATGCCCAATGTGGCCCGTGGAGCGTAGTTTGGACGGTTTGAACCTTCCGAATTTGTGGTAGCAGTTTGAAGATGGTCCTTTTCCAATCCAGTATAATTGTGTCACAGTGCACAATGGAAGGTCTAATCAGGTACGTTTGGACGAGTTTGGAAGAACTTTAAAGCCCTGCCCCATCAAACTTTACGAAAACAGAGATCCTAATCTGGTCCTCTAATCTTGAAAAGGGTTCCTAAAGGATCAAGAGAAATACATTCCCACAACCCCACTCA